GAAAAGGTTAGAAGCGTTCGAAATGTGGTGTTATAGGCGGATGATGAGGATATCGTGGGTGGAAAAGGTTAGAAATGAAGAGGTATTGGAAAGAATAGGAGAACAGAGGACTCTATGGAAGTCAATAAAAAATAGACGAGATAGGTTGGTAGGATACCTTCTGAGGCATGAAGGTCTAGTCAGAGATATATTAGAGGCAGAAACAGGAGTTATGAGGGGTAGATGTAGACCTAGGTTAGATTACTGTTCGCAAATAGTTAAGGATGTGGGCTGTTCTAGTTTAGCTCAGGATAGGAAAGAGTGGAGCTACATGTCCAACCAGTCTTAGGACTGACCACCTTATTATGATGATGATGAAAATTATGGATACATTAAGAAAACTGACTTAAAAGGCAAGGAAGTGAATTGGCACCGTTAACTGTTGCAATTAATAACGCAAGATGTCAGTGAAATTAAATGATCACGAAATGCAAATAAACGAGCCTGCTATGATGTATTGTCTCGTTAATTAGATATAGTGGTACAGACCGGCCGTTCAACAGTCTGGCACTAAGTCATCGCCTAGTTCCCGACACACCGTTTAGTAATTTATGTTACTGTGAAGTTTAATTCCCATGGCATAAGAATCCACGGGTTTTCCCTCACGTTCGCCACCCTTCTTGAGAAAATTAATCTGTACGTCCATGCCTTCCTTACTATTCTACTACGTCAAATGGAATTTTAAAGCAGTACCGAACTGGGAAAAATATTTACTATCCCTTGTTACCTTAAACGATAGACTGAAAAATTAACTTTTTTATATGAGACTCTGCAAATTCATTTATATTAACATCTTGAACGGTCATACACCCTTTCGAGGTAATTTCTCACACTGAAACGTTTTAAATAAGAAATGCATGATAAATCATCTACATTTTGAACCAAACTCATAAGATGGTTTGGTGCACGGATGCGAAAAGGTTCGTCTTTCTTGTTGTAGAACAGCGTTTCTAAATGGTGCTCCGCGGAACCCTGGTGTTCCATGGAGGGGTCACAGGGGTTCCACGAGATTCGACGATTCTTGTCTTATTAAAAATATACAAAATTCTGCGAAAAGCAATCGTTCTGTATCTAACCATAAATGAACATCAATTGAAGCTCAAAAAATCTTGGAAAATTATTTTCTAGAGCAGTCAGCCAGTCACAGGATAACCAGTGATTATTAATACAGAATCCATTCACAAATCAATCTAAATTATTAACGTTAACTATGTCGGAATATGAGAGCTTGATCGGTGTGAAGAATTCATCCTCCTTAAAATGAAAATTAGAATCAGCTAATTCAAATTTGAATGACCTTCAGATCAAACTTAATGATGAATACCCTGCAGCCGTTGAGAAGATTATCACTGTTCCTATTTCTTTTTATTTCGACTTCAGATTACAAACGAGCTTTTCAGTTTAATACGCTTACACTAAAAACACATTCAAAACTAGACTGGATATTCGAATTAAATTGTCGGGCATTAAATCAGATTGTAACGCTATTATAAGCAACAATGTGCACATTGAATATATACGTGCAATAAAGATTTTTAATTCAAAATTCAATTTGAACAACAGGTACACAATAAGGTACCAGGAGTCACACATAAAACTATCATCACTTTACTTTTTTGTGGAGATGGGATTCCGTCAAAAAAGGCTTATCAGAAAGAATTCCGTAGCAAAAAGAAATTGAGAACCGCTGCTGTAGTCTATATGCAATAATGCAACATA